TGACAGATTAGTGATAGACTGCGCGCAGAGCCTGTCGACAGATTCTGACGACAGATTGACGGCAGATTGCGTGCAGATTCTGTTTCCTAGATAGGCTATTTAATTCTATTAAGGGCCTAAAGAATTCTATTAATTCTATATATGTACGTTATTAAATGGGGCAGTTTCACATACACATTAAAAACTGCTGCAGAGAAGTCAAGATAATTATATTGTGCAATAATTGTACACATATACACAATAAAAAACAATGTTTATATTTTAAAATTGTATTACACATTTTTTATAAAAAAGCAACAATAATAGAGAAATAACGAGTACAAGTATAGAATAGTACAACGGTTAAATGGCCATTTAAAGGCGTACACATGTCATTCCTGGTAAAAATTGTTCTCATAATTTTTCATACAATTTCTCATTTTATTATTTTTTTTAATGTTGTTATGTCATTAAATCCGATTTAACCGTCATGCAATAAGTACTGAAGGCAGCAGCACCGAATAAAATATTAGTCTCGCTATGTAAATAACTTTTACAGAATTTTTTTGATGGTTTAAAAATATATCATGCTTCGATTTTGATAAAACTTAATATAATCTGAACGGGACGATCGACCAAATTAATTCGCACATGTAAAAGTACAGTATTTTATTAACATGATAAAAAAATGTCATTATCTGCTGTTTTATTGCAGTAATTTTTTGTACATTCCTTGGTAGAAAATTAATTTCGAATTATCGTACCAGTCTTTCTTACATTATTTATACGCTAAATGGTTTCGTCTATATTTTGCGGCTTAAAAGGCAAACAAACTATAATATTTTTCTTCCTTAAACTTTAAATGGACAATACAAAGCGCTTTTTATCAAGTGAAGAATTGGCATAGTGTCTAAGGCGACGGACGATTATCCAAAAGATGTCTTCAGTTCAAGTTCGAATCTCACTAGAGAAAATATTAAAAATTATGAAAAAATAATGTAGAAAAAAATTTTTTTGTCATAGTATTTTATGAGTATTTATGAGAAAGTGCTTATTCTATGAGTAATTATGAAAAATTATGAGAAAATTTAATTGAAGAACCTACGAAACGACAGTATCTGCGCGCAATCTGCAGCCAATCTGCCATCATAGTCTGTCGACAGGCTCTGCGTGCAATCTGCCGCTAGTCTGTCGTCAGAGTCTGTTCGCAGATCCTGTCAACAGTCTGGCGTCAGATTGAGGACGCAGATGTCTATGGATCTGTCGATAGATCCTGCTCGGATTCGACAGATCCTGTCGACAATCTGACGTCAGTCTGCGCGCAGATTGCTTACTGGGTA